AACCAACGATATTATTAGACATCGATTACAAAACATTAGCTTGTTAAGCCCTTAGCTGCCGATACAAACTGTTAAAGGCCTGTCCGCTAGCGTCGGACATCTGTCCGACACGTCATCTAGTGTGTTAAACAGAATAGACCATCGAAGAGAACCACCTCTGTGTTGGTTTTCTTAGCCTGGGATAAATATTATACTTACTGCAACTTGGGAATAAATTATTATGTTTTCGACTTACTCACGTAATAATTTGACGAGGAACTCGACTAGTTTCAAGCCATGCTAGAGGCTCATATTCATGCGCAGCATTTGCGACTGCGACGACAGCGACTGTCGCGCTGCTACTGGCTACTCGAGTCTCGAGTATTTAGTATGTCTCACGAAAGTTACAATACGAACTTGGGAACTTTAATCTAGTAATTGGTTGAGATTGTGATTGCGACCAGTAGCTAGGCTTTTTTTAGCAGACAATTTACATTGCAGGGGCTGGTCAGCTGATACTACTACCAAAATACATACAATACAATACAGCATAACGTTGCATTATGCAATTAGCACAGTACATATTTCAGTTTAGCGTTTTAACGCAGTCGAGCATGACCGCGCCTCAATTGGATAATAGTCGACCACTTTCGTATTTCGTGGCCTGCTGGTTAACAGGCTAGCCAATGCGCCACTATTGCATTAACTCGATAAGTCTGTATAAGTATTATATACCCATCCGAACTATCTTATCCAGCTATTTATTTATTTATTTTAGAATCAGGAAGATAAGTCTAAAATCAATAAAACCATAAAAGAGATAGATCCTTGCAGAATTTGAAATTAAATCTGCGTTTAGTCTTAGTTCTAAAGAGCCAAACGGTCGCAATATTTACGACCAAAGAGAACAGAACATAATTAATAACATTCAACGATAAAGTTCAATGACCGCTGGAATACGTAAGTTCACAGATTATAACACTTCAGTATCAAACACTTATTTAACAATTAGATAGGTACCTATTACATACATATTATCAAGGCGAAATCGTACAAACACGGTAATAGGTTTAACTTCTAGGAAACTCATTCATATCATAACATACCTGGCGGAAAGTAGATGTTACCTGCATTATTGTAGATATGTGCACTTCTGCCAACTCCTTCGTAGGTTAGGGAGGGCATGATGTTATGTAGGTATGTTAAATAGTAAGTAACAACAGTTACTCAAGATCTTGAGCAGGATTCAACATTTTACCAAATTGGCATTTTTGGTTAGGTAATACCTACTTAACTATGTATTCTGCTTACCTCATAAGTACCAGTCTCCGCTTTGAAGAAGTGATCCCAATACAGTTTGAGTGTGTCGATGTCCTCCTCCGTCGCCATTTGCAGTGTTTTCCGACCTATGACACGATAACGATCAATTATAACTACTATCAACCGATTATGATTGGTCTACATCTCTATGGACATACAACATGCGTAACTAAACTGTAACAGTTGATTACTATCGGTTATAGCGTAGTAAACATATTGTACAATGGTAATAGCTAATCATAGCGCCCTTATCATCTTAGTAATAAGGACAATTTTGCCTTGTATGGTAGTTTGTTATTAAGGTGGAAAAGATTTTTGGATACTTTTTTGTTTTATGGAAAGAATACATGTTCTTTTCAATGTGTCTTTTAACCGCTATCGTTCATATATTACATCATTCAATATTTCATTGTAATTAGAGGACAGTTATACAGATGCAATGTTGTTGTGTGGTGACATCAGTTATCTCAGCTCCAATTAATATTAACACTTAGTTATGTATGATGTAAATGAAGAAGGTCTTTATGACTATGAGAGAAAGTTGAAATTAGCATACAAACATTACCTTCCACTTTGCACTTATAATAGTCACTTAACAGTCATGTTTAACCGTATTTAAAGAACACTGTACATCCAAGAGTTTAACCCTGTAGTCCCAGCACTGTTTGTCCACATTCGCGTACGATCCGCAAGTACATAGTGGCCGAGTATTGGCGAGAAGCCTTATCGCCGCGGTCATTATTTATTGGAGAGAACTCTGATAATAGTCGCCGTTCGGGACAATTATCTGCAAGATTCACACACTCTAACAATGTAGGTACGTTAGTACGTTGAACAAGACTTAGGTATTAATCTAATCATTACAGATGAATTCGTTACATGTTACTTCTCGAAGTTACAGCGACACATGTACTTGACTGTAGTTCAGTCAGCAACTGACTCGAGAATGTAGTTGATACTTATTGCAGTGTTTATGTAGACTTGTTTGTCTTCTTACGTGCTACAGTTGTCGTTATGTGTACGAGATAGTGACGATGCACATGCACGCTGCTAATACGAATTATCAAGTAATTTAATTACGGTTCGAAAGTAGATATTCCAGTGAAATTCGCGCTTTTTGTGGTAAAGAAATGTTATAAAAAAAGCATAAGAGGTTGGTCGAGGAGAGGACAAGCGCTACAGCTGTGTTGGGTCTGGGTCTAGTGATTCCCGAGTCATGGGAATTTTACTGTAATTCGCTTTTGAAAAACTTGGTCATAGAAACTGCAACAAGTGACTGCCTCGTTGGCCGAGTGGTCGCAAGTGCGACTGCCGAGCAAGGGGTCTCGGGTTCCATTCCCGGGTCGGGAAAGTACTACTGCGTTTTTAAAAAAATCTCAGTGGTAGCACGAAGTCTGGAATAGTGCCCGGTATATGGCAATAGGCTCACCACTCATAGCATAAATAGTGAAACTTGGGTGTTACATTGTACAGTGGCATTAAGGGCCATCTCTGCCTACCCCTTCGAGGACAAAAGGCGTGACGTTATGTATGTATGGTCATAGAACACAATCTGGAACAAACCATTGCAATATAGGAAAATATTTGCTACCTATGTACATGGAACTGGGGATTCAACCATGGATGACAGTGATAAATGAGTACCACAACTAATTTCTGCTAACCCTTTCAGGTTGATAGTCAGAGCCCGAGCCATGAATGTGCTGCTTTAGCTGTTTAATTAATAAAACTAACAGACAGTTGGAAGTCACAATCAAGTCGGCAAAAGATAATAGTGCTCCAGTCAATTACAGTTTAAAAATACAACTATAAATAATAATATGAATGTACTTAGTAATGAATGGAATAATTAGATAAAACATTACATTATTATCTCAGTTATAATAGATTCATTTACAATGTGATTGAAGTCTAGTGATTTTGTATTACAATATTCTATTATTATGAAATTGTGGTGATGAATGCTGATAACAAATAAATTTTAGATTTTTTTCTGAATTGAATATGAATTAATTCTTTTGATATAAAACTAAAAGTAATAAACAACATTTTGAAATTAAAAAAAAACGAATTATGATTTCTAAGTAAAAATTGACCATAACTTAACAACCACCACTCTGGAATATATAAATTTAAAATTGGAAAAGACTGGACAAAAAAGTGAAAAAAGAAATACTACCCCACAAGACAGTATTTTTTTTCTTTTGTATTCCACATAGAAACATGGTTGAGGTGAGAAGGTATGAAGAAGCTGATCCAAGAGATTAATAGAATTAAAAAAAATAATTCTTATTAGATTTAATGACAAAACCACAACATTCTTGCTGGAAAATCTTTCATAAATGTCTTAGATAATTAATTAAAACATTAATAAACATAGTTAGGTGTATGTGTCATGTTCGGGACTAGGTGCCATCAACTGGGACTGGTCAACTCCAGACTGTATGACTTTACCGTCCTTAGACTTGTTTTCCTTTTCAATCTCTTTGACTTGATTTTGATGCTACATTGTTATCACACAATTAAACTAACAAAACTATGTAACTAAATAATTGTATTGTGAACTTGATTGAAAAAGATTAGTTTCTCGCTTGTTCTTCTCCATAGGAATCAACACCTTAAAATGCGCAAATAGCTTTACGTTTGAATGAAAACTTTGACTTTTGACATGTTACACTAATTTTAGTATTACTAAGTCTGCAATCTGCAATATTATATTATAGCAAACCGAACTCAGAATGTTCTTTGACTCACTCATTTCCATTTCAGTCAAGATGCCTAAAGGTACTTAATTTAAATTATTTTAAAATGTTTTAAAATTTCATATTACTATGCAGATGCAGTATAAAAAAAACAAGTTTTTATTCTATCACGAGGTAAGTCTACCCAATAAGTACCCAATAAGAAAGGTAAACATACATCACGCAAAAGCAGCCGTTCGTATAAAATTATTTCGACATAATTTCTAATTATTAACGACTAGATTTGTATTTGCATGAATTAAAAGAAAATACTAACTTCAAAAATTGTCATAATAAGTGACATTTACGCTATTCGGTTAATTTGGTATACTATTAATGAACAAAACAAAATAGCCTGATAAAATAGAAAGATATAAGTCTAGTAAAAAAAAGTAAGAAGTAGATAAACAGATAAATAATATATCAAGAATAACAAAGTGATTAATAAATTATAGAACACTCACATGAAACACTTGCTTCAAATCACGAATTTTCGATCGAGTAACTTAATTATTAGAGCCTGGTATTTACAAAATTAAATGAATTCTCTTCACAAAAGTTAATTTGCATGAAATAACTTCGCAAAATAATATTTGCGGGTCAAACAACCTCATTGACGGGCAAAAACTTTTTTGACAGTATCGAATTGACAGCTTTGACACATTTAGTGAAGTGACGTGCCAAGAACAAACTAATTTCCTCAACGGGATTTGTTACTTAATGGATACTTACTTCACTTAGATTATCGCTACCCCACAATGTACTGAAACTTAAGAAAACTTTTATGGAATATTTTGGTCTAAATTATCTTTTTCGCTACAGGAATATAATTTCTTATTTCATTTATATACATCCATCAATAAATAAACCAAAAGTTTTTGTCAATGTCAAATTGATACGTCAATGTCAAACTAATGTCAAGTTGGGTGTCATGTAAATTGTCACGAACTTCATAAAACTCTTGACACTTGAGGGAAAACGGTGATTTCATCCGCATTTTTGTAAAATATAGGAAGTGTGTGTAGCACGAATCTTTTGGCTGTGTTAGAAAAATAGAAGGCTCGATCATGTGGGAACAAATTATAGAATACTTAAAAGATCCATTATTAGTGATTAAAGTACAAAACTTTTTTGGTGTAACTTATAAAAGCAATCAAAGTACACAAGAAAATGAATCAGCGTCAGCCGAAGTGGTACATTCAGATAGAGTGGAGCGTTTGGCTGAGGAGAATGATGTGAAACAGCACAAGAGGATTCCTAGTAACATATCGAGTAGTTCGCAGTCCTCGGCATATGACACTGATAGTTCTGGAGACAGCTGCGGGAAGGATGTTGTGGAGTGTCGCATAGACAATAAGTTCTGGTACTACCTGTTCGTGCTGGGCACTGAATTGGGAGACGAGATATTCTACGCGACTTTTATTCCGTTTTGGTTCTGGAACATTGATGGAGCTGTTGGCAGGAGAGTGGTGCTGGTGTGGACTGTAGTCATGTATATTGGTAAGTAAAATTTAACTCAATTGGTTATATTATATTGAGTGTATAGGGCCTCATAGCTACCTAAATGACTGGTTCTGTGATCTTATTAGAATCAATTGAGATCTACTATTCAATAGCCATACAAACCACAAGACTGAACAAATATAGCTTTATATAGATTGCATTATTTATTATGTACAGGAGTCTGAAATCTGATCTGTGTAAGCAATGGACACAATAACATGATGTAGCAATGTTTGATAACATCACTGGCCAGGCTGTTGACAATTAAAGGCATTATTACCCACATATAGAGCAGCATGTCAAGCTACACTAAACAGTGAACCTAATTCTTTGTGCAGTAAAGTTGAAAATTGATTCGTGATGTGTGCAATTTCCACTGTTGCTGCAAATATGGACAGTTTAATGACTTATTGTATTGTTTGCATTTATATTTTTTTATTATTCAACATAGTTTAATTTATACATTGTAATAATTAATCATGAAACAGAGTAGTTTTTCTTTTCTTAAGAAACTACATACTATGTTATGATACCCTGCTCTACTTTTCTAATTTCCCTATGTACAAGATACTATTTCAATGAATTTGTAATGTGATAAACTTTATCACACAAGATATACATTAGACCTGCACATCATGCCGCCACAAACTGTAATAAAAAGAAATCAATTTTAGACTTAAACATCTTGTAATAAAATCTAAAACCGTACAACGAAATTTGACAACTTAGGGCAGCTTGAAATGATGTTTTGTGTGTAAACAGAAAAATCTTTTAGGTATTACAAATGAACATTAGTCATAATAAAGTAGGTTGTGGTGATATGACATTTTTATTAAATTAAACAAATAATTCTAGATTATTCTAAGATATTGATCTAAATATAGACCGGTTTTATAGTAGAATTTAAACTGATAGTGATGACCTCATATGGCCATGAGGATATAATTATAGCCTATAAGTGTTACTAGGGCTTTAATTCTGATATTTCCATTGCGAAACAGTAACTCATGTACAGATTCAGTAAGAAGCCAGGTAAATAGCAATAGGCTCACCCCCTATTACTACAAGAACTAGTGAATAAGTGGGTGTTACATTGTACAGTGACATTAAGTGTCTTAACTCGTCGAGTACCGTCAATATAGACACAATTATAGAACAATAGGTTGCGGTCACAGGTGACAGGTGAGGCTTGGTGTTTGACAGTTTAAACTGTACTCGACGAGTTAATGTGCATGTAACTGTGCTGCCTCCTTCAATGATTTCCATATATTGAACTGTTTTGAAACAACTTGCATGCATAAAGTTAAAGTCAAAATCTTTCATTTCAATTAGCCCAGTAACAGTAATTACCTGCCGCATCTTTTCGCCATCGACCCTCACGACAATTATATTACTTCAAACAGTTTTTTTTATGGCATAAGCCGGTTAACGAGCAGACGGATCACCTGATGGTACACCTGGAACACTAGAGGCGTTACAAGTGCGTTACCGGCCTTTTGGGCATTAAGAGTTTGAGGATAGTGCGGGATTCAGGAATTGGGGAGATTGGGGAAACGGAGGGTAATTGGGCCTCTGGTAACCTCACTCACACGACGAAACACAGCGCAAGCGTAGCTTCACGTCGGTTTTCTGTGAGGCCGTGGTATCACTCCGGTCGAACCGGTCCATTCATGCCGAAGCATGGCTGTCCCACACTTATATTATGTTATTATTATGTCCCATAGTTATATTATGTATTGTGCAAATACAGATTCTAATTTACACAAATAGTTGCCCAATAAATATTTTTAAAGTACATTACTTGTGATTATAATGGCCTTTATTTATTTCGTAATAATAGGATTGCTATTAATAAGTATTTGCCATTATTTATTGAAGTTAACTATTGTCATTTTTTGTTAGTTCAACACCAAGGCCGTGCTTAGTAACTAGCTAAGTTAGTGACTTGACATTGACATTCCTATTTACATGTATTCAGTGACAAATTGTTGTTTAAAATTATACAATAATTCTCTATCTGTACCAATCACTTTACAGTTTACTATTGCTAACCTCATCAGTAATTTACCGATTGACATGTAAAAGTGGTACATTGTATCCCATTTGCAGATATAAGTATCCTATCATTGTAATGAAGTGAAATATTAATCTACATCATATTTTATGCTGCCTCTTTGGCCGACTGGTCGCAAGTGTGACTGCGGGGCAAGAAGTCTCAGGTTCGATTCCAAGGCCGGGCAAAGTATTACTGGGTTTTTGAAAATAAAATTCTCAGTAGTGGAATGGAATTGTGCCCGGTATATGGCAATAGGCTCACCCCTTATTACATAGGACTCATAACATAAAATAGTGAAAAGTGGGTGTTACATTGTACAGTGACATTAAGTGCCATAATGTGCACCTCAGCCTATCCCTTCGGAGATAAAAGGCGTGATATTATGTTATGTCATATTCTATGGCCGTTAATATTATAAAGTTAAACTGAATGACAAGTTTTTATAGTTTTAAGTTTTATCTAAAGCCTAGTTTATTGTTGTGATATAAGTTTATAGTAGTGGAAGACATAAAACTTAGAAAACGTATATTCATATAACTGCACGTTGCATTTGTGTAATTTAGTTATTGCATGTGCAACACCCAATAAAAAATCATAAAGACAAGGAAAGATGAGTTTCAAATATAGCTTTAATTTTTCAAGATAAAAGAATTTGTGAAGAATTTAGAAAAACAGCTGCAATATGAGTCAGCTTTCATAGTATTGTGTTATATCTACTATATCACTATTAATCATAATCATAAGATTTCAGATAAATAAAATATGTGTGAGTAAATGATAACATTGGCTATATCAACGTACTTATAAGTCGCGCCATGTTTTAAATATAGTTTATTTAAAAATGATATATAGCTAAAGTCGCCAATTGATATAATAAGTAAGGCATGCAAGTAATGAATGAGTCACAATGTTTCGCGACATTTCCAGTTGAATAATTACAACTGATACTTATCAAAAGTATTTACTAATTTTATTCATGTTGAAGTTGTAAATGTACTGCCACCAATGCATTTTAGACTTTATAAGCTTATAGAATAAGGTTGAAAATCTATTAAAAATTCATGATTGTAATATGATGGAAATACAGGCTTACTTTGTGTGTAAGATACATTGCTAGGTACTAAGTTCATGTTTAATAAATAAACTAGAATTGTGTAGTCAACTTTGTAGTCCTAAACCTACAGACACAGACTAAACCAACCACTTTATTGGTTGTTACTTTTATTATAACCAGTTAATATACACCAGGCTTAATTCGAGTCCTTGAGTTATTAGTGAGCTAATCAGCTAATCCCTTATCCAAGCCAGGGATTAAACTCAGGGTTCCAAGCGGTCACTAGTGACCACTCTCCACTTATACCATTATAGACCTTATTTCCGATGCTTAGAGACTACTTTTATATGAACAAACGTTGTGGATTTTTCATAATCGGGTATTAAGAAGTTCAGCATTCAAACTTACATATACGAGACCAAAGAGGTAGCAATAAATAAATACTTTTTAAATGTAAGAGCTATAAAACTTTAAGATAACAAATAGCGATTAATCCTAAGATTTATCTGGTATGCTTGTTCACGCTGCTATCTCGTGACGAGTAGTATTGTACATAATTATAATTTGTTAGTAGATCTATTGAAAAATGTTATTCTTATGTGCTGTAAAACATGTAATCTTAAGTTTAAGAATTTTACTGATCTCCGTTACTCATAAAAACGGAACGTAAGTAATAACCTGTGTTTTTCGTCATAAAAATATTACCTGTGATAAACATTATACAACGTCCATTGCACTGCACATACTTATGATGCTTTTTTATATATCTTACCGTTCCAAACCACTAACAAAAATAATTCAAAGTTATAAACTGACAACTGTCTTTATTAGTTACGCCACTTATATTTTAACACTTCTTTTTACTATAAACTTGAGCTGATTACAAAGAGTATTCATTTTTTTATAGTATGTTTTTAAATCTCTGATGGAATCCAATCCCAGGAATTATCACCCCTTGCTCCGTGCGTGATCCTCGGCATCGAATCCCTTATTTATTTGGTACCGGGGGCATAAGAGCAGAAGGGTCACCTATTGTAAGCGATCAGCGCCGTGCCGCCGCGCTATGTATACCCAAACTAGTCATCCGCTCCTTTGTGATGGTTTGATTTTTGTATCGGTTTGTAAATATCGGTAACAATGAATTTCATAGTTAGCGAACACCAAACACCACTACTTAAGTCTTACTTACTATTCTAAAAAACCTATTGTTCTAATTCCAGGTCAAGGCTTCAAAGACATAATCCGCTGGCCTCGTCCAGGCTACCCAGTGAAAAAACTGCAACAGAAATGGGCAGTAGAGTACGGAATGCCGTCGACTCACGCTATGGTGGGAGTGTCCATACCATTCTCCGTGTTATTATACACCATGGATAGGTACCAGTATCCTATACATTGGGGGATGGTCATCGCGGTCTCATGGTGCACACTAATTTGTGTCAGCAGGGTCTATCTGGGAATGCATAGTGTGTTGGTAAGGTTTTGTTTTTGATTATTTAATTGCATAATAAAAAAATATCTAAATCTTTTTTTTTCTGAGGAAAGATGTCAAAAGTAAATTACAAGACAGATCAACTGATGATAAGCAATCAGCGACGCTAGATATTAAGAAAATTATCTTTTTTATTTTAGACTAGACACCATTACTAATAGAATACTATTGTCAGAAGACAATGCTATTCAGTATAGAAATTAAATAAGTAATAAACACTTGTGACTATTCAATAACTGTTTAACGACAGGCATTATTGTTTCTACATTCAACCATGTTATATGTCAAAGAAAATCGTCCCAGTGCATAAATTAGTGCTTGTGTAGGTACTTCAAAGATACATGTAATTTTAACTACCTGATATGGTAGGAATGTTGTCCTTTCTTGAAGAATATACATTATACATATTATATAACAGCTATACATGTCTGATAAAGTACTTTACAACTTTTGATAAATATCGTAATTATTAAGATTAGGAATGCAGGTGGTAATGTGAATTTATAGTAAATTTAGAGTAACTTTAGACTGCCTACTAACTTACACTTAACAAAATTACAAGATACTTTTGGTTTCGATTTTGAAATTCGACTAAAGTATAGTCTAAGACTAGTCGCCTTTCTAAATTCACATCATTCATTTCACGCTATTTATACTTATTGAACAAACGAGAGTTCTTAAAGAAAGTGAATTAACAGGAAGCGTGCAATCTCACATACACATGTGTCCGTCATATACATATAATTATAATTAGACTTATTATTAATTAGCGGAGGTCAAATGGCATTCGTCCTACTTTCAATACTAGTTGTCGGGTTCTAGACATAGACAACCGACTGGCAGGCATAATTTTTGTTTCCTAAAATAGAAAGACTAATAAATTAGGCAGAACTGTACCTACTTAGGTCCTTACAATAAATCTACATATATATTGAATCCAAATTCATTGGAGTCCGTATATTGAAATCGTAAATTGATAGTTAATACTTTATCTAATGATATTTCTCACCTGTTTCAGGATATAGCAGCAGGGTTGCTGTTGGCGACGGCGCTGGTGTCGGTGCTGATCCCGGTGGTGGACCATCTCGACGGGTTCCTGCTCACCTCGCAGTTCTCACCGTTCCTCGTCATAGCTGCCTCCATTCTAGTCATCGTATTCCATCCTAATGCTGACAAATGGACGCCTACCAGGTGAGAACACTTTACTTTATTTATTTGATTTTATCAATAAGTCGCATACATCTACCTCTTTGGAGAATAACAGTTAATACCCATAGTTACACGTTGTAGTGTATTTTAGTTTAAATTGAAATACTTCTCGCTAAATATATGAGGGTGAGCGCATTCCTATACACTAGTTGATTAGAGATTATTTCCGGCTTCATAACAATAAATTCAAGGTCACTTAAGACCACACTGACGTACAATATCAATAATAAAGTTCTTGTATCAGAATTATCCTAAAAACTTTAATACGAAGCTATTTCCTTATAGCTGGGTGTTATAAGATTCATTATCGTCATCACATCAGCCTAAAGACGTCACTACAGAACAAAGGCCTACCTAAATGATGTACGATTTTATTACTAAACCATAAGATTAAAATTAAAATTTTCTGGTGTCTACATTGCTAGTCAATGCGCAAGCGCAAACGTATGTGTCACCGCTGTCTAGCATATTGATGTGCACGATCGTATCACGTGGTTGTGCACAAGTTCAGTGCCTATGTAAACACAATATGTTTATTTCCACTCCGGCTATATCTTTCTGGGAAAAAATAATGACTCTATACATTAGATCGAATGTAAGAAATTTCATTGTATGCAGTTATAGTAACGTATTTATTTTGAAGTAATAATGTTTTCCTGCCTTCTTGGGCTCGAATAAACGTACTACGACTCTAGAAAATAAGTAGCGCTATGTAATTGAATTATGAACATATTGTTTTATTCCAATCAAACGTTGCACTAAAATTGTATGTGTTAGTAGGTATATGTGCAGCATACGTGATAAGAACTCGATTTTAAATCACTATACAATAATAGTTATAGCAACTTGACATGCACAGCGAACAATTATTTTTGCTGACTTATTATTTATCATTAACTAATTAATAATAATTTATCAATCGTCATTATTAAAAAGGAGTTAGAGACTGATTAGGTTATAGACAAAAATATTCTCATTACAACACCGATCACATCGATATTGTTACGAAACAAATAGTTTCAAGACTATCTAAAAAAAAGATGTGTGTAAAGCATGAACAGATTAAAAACATTACACATGCATCGTTCCCAAAGATATCAGGTAAAGTGAATCACATGTTAACTTAACACACCCATGTTTTTATCAACCTTGTAAATATCACCGCGACAGCCGTTATTTGCAACACATACTTTGGTTACTAGTCAGCTGTAAATGCGTTTTATTAAATGTTCCAGAGGCGACACCACGATGATAGTGAGCGTGTGTGCGGGCATCCTGTTCGGCTCCTGGACCAACTACCAGCTCGGTAACATGGTGGCCAGTCCGCTGGACCCGCCCTACGAGATCATATGGCCTTCCAAGGAGATGTTGGGATGCACCATCCTCAGAACCATACTCGGTTTCTGTGGAGTCCTCGCGACCAGAGCCATTGGCAAATCTGTGTCTTACGCCTTCGTGTGTGCCCTACTCGGGAAGGATAAGAACGAACTACGCAATTCAGAGGACAGCCTAGACAATAAGAATAAAATTATAGTGGAATTAAGTTATAAATACTTCACGTACGGCATGATCGGGTTCAATACGACATACGTTTTTCCAAATGTGTTCTCTCTGCTAGCGATCAATAGGCCCACCTACTACACGGAGATTTAATTCGTTTCTAGTTGCGCCGGGGGCTGTTGTAATTTGCGAAGTGTGACGTGCGCGGAGCCACGATACTATACTAGCGAAATACTTAACATACTCACAACTATGTGTTTATAGCACTAATGGTCGTATGTATGTTGTTCAAATGCCTTAATAGAAATAATGATATATTTTAATGTTCAGATATAAAGTCGCACTTCGTCTACTTATGCTATCTGCATTAAAATGCACTCGCACAGTTTCTCTATGTTATCGGCAACATCTTAATGAGTTTCTGTCCAGCAGTGTGACGGAGACAGAGATTATATTTATACTATGTCGTCCTTAATTTAAACAAGTGCACTTTCATGTTGTTTGTCATATCGCCACTGAGCATTGTTATCTGTATGAATGATTGTATGAAGTTTATTTTATGTTTTTCTAGTTGGTAATGTCTTTGAGTCCGGACTACATGTCTAAAATTATAACAATGGCGTCTTGAGTCCGGGCGTATGACGCTATAAATTAAAATATTCCAGTAATCTTACAATTATTTTATAGTATTTTGTCGAATATAGTATTATATTGTATTTTTGTACACGAAGAGTAGGTTGTAGTTGTGCACCGATAGATGGCACTGTGGTGTAGAGCACACTATAAACGAAGCTTTACATAGAAAAGAGGGAGAGATAGTCGGTATTTGTATATAAATGTTATAAGTGAATAGTAACGGGCCTGGTTATGTATGTACGTGTGTCTTCAATTCCTTTTTGTATCGAAGTCTGAATGAGTATCTAAAACATCACAATTTACTTGACAAACACGAGCTTATAGAGTTAACACTATACATTGATATTATAATAAGTTGAGGCTAAAATATAACATGTTTCAAAGTTGAAACTATTCCATAGATTTACGATCCGATTGGAAACTAAACGAGTAATGAATAGTCAATAGACACGGTAATAAAGGATGACGTCAGATTTTTGTTCAGTAACGAGATATATTTGATGTGTTTTAGCATCGTTGTTAATGTTCCACTACTAACACATAGTGTAGGTTGTGAATACTGACGGGAAGTGCCTGCTAATGTGACTTCACTTAGAGTTACAATAAATTATATTGCTAAACGAGTTTCGACAGGCGTTTCGAGTATATGTGATAGCAATACTTGATCAAGTCACGAATAATCATTAAATGTTTTATGTTATGTTATCATTTGTTATTATAAATGAAATTCCATATCCGTAATTTTATTATTTAATTAATTTTATTAATAAAACTGCCATGAAACCTAACTATATTTTATTTTACTTTACCTTGCTATGGTGAGGCCACACGGGTGTGTTGACACGGTAATCTATTATGGTGGTAGCACGGTGCTACCACCATTTGTCTGCAACAAATGGGGCGACTGTTTAGCCCTAGCACACCACCGTTTTTATTCGACCAACTTTGGTTTCCAAACTGGTAGAAGATTATTTTGTTTAATCGGCTCAAACCGTTGGCCAACTTCAGAAAAGAATTAGTGTGGATAGATTGATCTAACAATACCATCTAACCAAGGACTTGGTAACATTGTTTTGTCACAACGTTCGTAGTACTGTGTAATTTTTGTCATAGTGCTACCCAAAGACTTAAAAAAAGGCGTCTCTTGAAACACTAGACTGGCACCTAGCTACTATAGAGTTACACGCAGAATATACACATTGACACGGAGGACATTTGTCATTTCCTTAAGTCTGGTAACGTGGTAACCCATTACATACGCACACATAAAAAACTACTGACATTTTAGTGCTTCAATCATTTCTAAGTGTCATTATGCCTTTCGTCGTTGGTGCTACCAAGCATTCTATTAGTCTAGAATTTTTTTAATAATAGATGCATTACTGGCCCATAGATTTTTCGAAAGTTCCCCTCGGTTTCCCTAGGATCCCATTATCAGATCCTGACCTCATGGAAATGGGACCATCTCGGGAGTATACCCTTTCAAAACAAGAATTTTGGAAATCGGTTCTCAAACGGCGGAGTAATGCGCGAACAAAAAAAAAACAATCAGCCGAACATAGTACCTCCTCCTTTTTTTGAAGTCGGTAAAAAGGAGAAAGAACATTGAGTGCTTGCGTATCAATTCGGTATGCTACGTTTCTTTTTGGTAACTTTTTATTCTATTTTGTAGATAAAGTTATTTCAAGCAACTAATTTCAATATTTTAATTTTCTATGCAATGGTTACTTATGATTTTTTTTAAGTTTCAGTCGTTAAGTAGGCAGAATAATTTGGTTTCTTGATATGATACATTTTTAAATTTTTATAAAAGAACTAAAGTCAAATTTGTAAGTGGGCCGTTTAGCTGATATGAAAAATCACTCTAAACTAAAAACTACCGCAAAGTTAAGTTCGACGGTCCAATAATTTTGCCGTCACCACTCGACACTGGCAGTATAGTCGACAACACCATTTTGGAGACTCAGTTGCCAAAGAAGAAGAAAAAAAAAAATCACTCTAGTTGACTGTGATAAAATACATTAAAATATATATTATTTACTTTAAATGAAAAACTTATTAGTTAATTAACTTATTAAATTACTTTATTTTAAATGAAACCTGTGCAGGAGTACTTAGTAGGTACATCAGCTACCTTTCAATAAAAAATGTTATTTTGGTATGTGTATCGTATATAGATATATTCATATGCATGTAGTAAAAATCGGTTATTTAATATTACAAAAAGACACTACAATTTTATATATCTGTATAGATTGTAAGCAAGGCACTGACCATAGTCAAATCAGACTACTCTTTGACGTCATTAGAGGTCAAATGAAACTCAACTGATTTGTGTTTTCGTTAAAATAAACGTAATCTTACAACTTTAAGAACTAAAATCACGAAAATATTTTTTTTCTATAACTATAATCTCGAAGTGGTTTTCAAATTGGCATAGCTTTTTATCTGTTGAAACACCGGCTCCCGGTATAAAACACATTATGGCCGCAACTTTTAACAGACAAGAGGGTGGGTTGATTTTTACTTTACATATATCGAATTGCAAAAGATTCTGATGGATCCCGTTTTGTAAATTGCCCTCGGCTTGTAGGCTATTAATATAATATTCTTTATCGTTCAACCGCCTGGCTAGAACTGATGACGTACCACGTCCATATTTTCTTAACATTTTACGTTTTTACGTTTTATTGGAAACCTGCATTTTTCCACCACGAAAAAAGCGATAAAGAAAAGAGCTATATTGACATGTGTAGAACTTGGAGTCTAAGTTCGTCTTACGACTAATTTGCGAGCAAAGTTCAATGCAGTAGCTAGTAAACCACGAAATATTATCAGTGGTACCTACCTAAAAACCCACCTACTAAGTATTTAGGTACGGCTTTTAATGTGATGTAAAATATGTTTGTTTTTATGAAATACCAACATGACGTTATTGTATTATTGTGTATGATTGTATTATTAGACCTCCCTTGTTTTTATTAATCTGTAATCTCAAGCATGACTGCTATGCGGGGAAAATAGCCAATCTTAATGTTGTTTTCAATAACTCAGCTCGGCTTAATGCATTTTCATACTTATAGATGCTTAGCCTGCTTTAATCTCTATCTTGTCTTGTCGCTACAATGCATCACTTCAACGAAATTAATTTATTCAGTTGTAAGTTACAATAGAAATACCTATGATCTTCTATTAATATAGTTAATATTAAAATGTAATTAAGCTAGGTAGGTAACTGGGTTAATTGTCAACAAGTAACCGATAAACAAAATATCCTTTAACCAAGGGTTTTAATGATTTTCCGTACGTATTGATATTTTGAAAAACCCCATTGCTACCATGCACCTACAATACCATAGGTATCGTAAATTGAAAGCATTGTTTTACATATTTGTATAGTGGGATGCCCGACGGCCATGTTTTTCGATATTTCTAGTACCTAGGTACCAGATCCTATCTGCACGAGGCCGAAGGTTCACGCGCGCGTCGGTAATATGGCAATGAGGTTTACGCTCGACATCGTGCGATACCCACGGCTAATCAATATGTCCATACATAACTTTTTAGGACCGTAACTTTAACTAGCGCTTAAGCTTCAACAGCTAGCCTAAACCAGTCACCTGGTTTATACAACATGTAACTTAAATAATGCACATCCTGAAAATAGTTTGTTCAGAATCGTTAACTAAATTGATTTATATAATTTTTAGTATAGGTAATTTTTTATCCCAAAATAATTAAAACTACGGAAATATTTGTCATATTAACCCTGTATTGTTAAAACAAATCGAAATGGACCGTAAGTCAAAGCAATAAGACTTTTAAAATCGCAGTTTTATTTGTATTCATACAAATTCTATCATTCAATACAAAATAAAGAAACATAAACCTTATGACAAGACCAGTAAGGATGCATATACATGTTAAATTAAAAATGTACTGTATGTATTATGATTATAACATAATATTCTAATTGGGGTGTTTGAGGGTGTGCGTTATTTACGTTACATGTTGTATAGGGTAGACGTGTCATCCGAGATTGGTACCTATCCACCTTACCTGCAACACTTAGAGACACAACTAATTTATTAATGTTTTGTAGTAAGAGAATTTTAATCTCAATGAATTTTCAAATACTTATGAAGTACTTAAAGTTACGCTTTACCTATCGCTCCCTTCTATGAGGAGTTCTATGACCTCCTCAACCGAGCATGTGACGAACATAAGGGTACTTGGATGATGGTTGTAGGCGACTTTAATGCAAAAATCGGTTCAAGGCTACCCTCTGACAACCAAAATATCCTGGGACCACATGGTATAGGTACTAGAAACGAACGCGGTAAACGCCTAATCCAGTTTGCTTCAAATCAAAATTTTATTATCAACAATACTTTCTTTTACAAAAAACCACAACGTCGCTGGACTTGGTTTTCTCCAGATGGTTCCACTAGAAACGAAATAGACTTCAGCCTTTCCTCCACTAAACAAATAATAACTAATGTCGAGGTACTCAGTAATTTCAAATTTAGTTCTGATCACCGACCTCTAAGGATTACAGTAAAACTTAACCAGAAGATACAACGGGCACGTATGATTAAAAATTCTATTAAAAGAATAGATAAATTGACATTGATTGCAAATAAAGAACGTTTTATTTTAGAACTGAAGAACAGTTTTCAAACTCTTAATTTAGATACAGAAGACGTGGAAATACAATATAGAAATATTTCAAAATGCATAAAAACTGCAAGTCACAACATCAAAATAGCTAAATATAGAACGAAAAAATTGAGTCCTTCCACACTAAAAATAATCGATGACCGCCAAAAACTAAACATCCATACCCCAGAATATAAGGCGATAGATAGAGAAGTTAAAAGAAAAATCCGCAAAGATATTCGTAATTACAACACACAACTTATAAAAACCACTCTGGAGAAAAACCAGTCCCTTAGAACCGCAATTAGAGGCACAGAAAATGGAAAAGTAACAATAAGCAACCTCAAAGACAATTCCGGAGTAAAACAGACGGATAAAGAAAATATTTTAAATGTTTGTACAGAATATTATAAATCCCTTTATGCTGCCGATAACAGTCAAGAGCACACAAACAATATATATTCATATTCAGAAAACATCGCACTTATTACCGGCTATGAAGTCCATCAAGCCTTACTAAACATGAAATACAGCAAAACCCCGGGAGAAGATGGTATTACCACAGAATCATTGAAAATAGGAGAACAAATTCTGTTGCCTCATATCACCAATTTGTTTAACTCCATATTAAAAACCGGAATAATACCCAAAAACTTTTGCCACTCAAATATTATATTATTACACAAGAAAGGCGACAAGTCAGATTTGGCAAACTATCGACCAATAAGTCTAGTATCTCATTTATATAAAGTGTTCATCAAGGTAATAGAAAATAGAATATCTGGCACATTAGACCAACATCAACCGGCCGAGCAGGCAGGCTTTCGACGCGGCCTCTCTACAACGGACCACCTACATACTCTGAACCAGATTATAGAGAAATATTTCGAATTCAATCTCCCTCTATATATAGCATTCATTGATTATTCCAAAGCTTTCGACAGTCTCACCCATTCATCAATATTCAAAGCACTGAACAACCAAGACATCTACCCCACCTATATCAATTTGCTTCAGAACATTTACCGCGAAAGCACTGCAGCAATTAGACTCCACAAACTCGGCCAATCCTTCCCTATTTCTAAGGGAGTCAAACAAGGCGACC